AAAATGTAATTCTGAGCTGTTTCAACTGAAAGAAACTTGCACTGACTGATGTTAAAATATATCAGTGCCTTTGCTTTGTCTCAAGATGCACACCAGTAATATTTTTTCTAAGGCATGTTAATAAAAATTACTTAAATGTCCTAATTGAACTATGGCCTAATCCTGGCTTAGTCTAAGCCCCGTCTGTGAAACCAGGACTCAGTCACACTTTCACATATATGCACCGTAATATCAGGCAACTTCAGACATTTTTCACGTTTGTGTGTTAGGTGTTTCACACACGTAATAAACAAGGTGTTGTGGTCCACCCAACCAGCGTGTTTGCCAGTGACCCTGAAGTTCTGCACGTCCCCGAGCACGAGTCCAGCGAGTTTGGTACACGCTCCTTTTTGCAATAAGACAGGCATCGTGACGGACTCTGTCCTCCGTTTCACTGTTGTACTCTTACATTCCTTCTCTGTAGGTGCTGATAAAGGGCAGAGCAACAGGCATCAGTTACTGGCTTTTGTTACTCTGCTAGAAACAAACAAGCCTTACATCTCGAACTGTTTGCGGGTTCCAGCATTACAGGTCAGAGACAGATGAGACTAAAATGTCCCTGAAAAAAACGTAATGATATATCTGAAATAATAATTAATATTTATTTGTAAAATAAATAACATTTAAAAAATAATTTTTACTATTTAAAACATTTTCAAAATTAATAAAATGTGTACACTCACATTCAAGGTGTGAGAAAATTTTTATTTATTACTTGATGGCTACACCACATGACACTTTTAGAGTCATTCAATTTAAACATACCCTGAAAACACTATAATCGTTTTCAAAAACCAACAAGAACACAGAGTACACAAAAGTTTGGAGTAAGTATGATTTAAAAAAAAATTTTTTTTAAGAAATTAATGCTTTTGTTGAGAAAAGATGCATTCAAATGATCAAAATTGACAGTGAAGACATTTATAGTGTTAAAAAATATTTATATTTCAAATAAATGCTGTTCTTTTAAATTTTTTTATTCATCAAAGCTTGACAAAAAAAATGTGTTGTGGTTTCCACAGAAATATGAAGCAGTCTCTATAGTTTATTTTGTAATTGTTATATTTTATTTTATTTCTGTTAAAGTTGATTTTATTTCAAGCAATGAAAATGTATGTTTATGGTTTTAGGTTTATTTAACTATTATAATCCTGCTATAAATAAAAATTTAAAATATGAAGAGTTCATTTGCAAAAACCGATAAACGCCACTTTCAGAAAAAATGAGCTGATTGCCGTGCATTATTCTCCACATATAGCGCGATCTGAACCCTAAACACTTTTTGTCAAAAAAGCCGGTTTTGTTCACTTTCAAGGCATCGCGAGTTCACGTTTTACTGCAGAAGCCGACAAGCGCCCTTGTTGTTTTTGAGCAGAAGCGGATAAGTCCATTTTAGCGAATCAGGGTGCTGTATTCAGGTCAGGTGACAAGGCTACTTTCACTTTGAAAAGACGTGCTAGCTGAGAGAGTTTCGTCAAAGCTGACTAAATGTGATCGAGGATGGATAATTTCGACGAACCTGATGAACCTGTGATATCTTCTTCAGGGCGAAAAAGGAAAATAAAAGCTGAAATGTTTTCACGGAACCTTGCAAAAGCAGCACGTTACAATGGTGAGGGAAAAGCACCGTGTATTGTGTGTAATCACATCCATACAATTTATGATCACAACAACAACGTTTGTCAGGCATCTACATTGTCATCTGAGATTACAAAGATTAAACGAGTGTTTTTTAAACTTTAAAACATGAAATGTGGAGTTATCTGCTTTTGCCAAAAAACGATTGTTGGAGTTATCTGCTTTTGCTATAAAACAAACTTTTAATATGTAAAAACAAAAAAACATACTTTCAATTAACTTTAATTTAGTAAATTAACTGTATTTGTTAAGGTAATAAGTTATTATTACTTAATCAAAACAACCCAAATGCAGTTTGATATTACTTGGAATGCGCAATAAAAAAAACGTGATTTCTGGAAAAAATTATCGGTTTATCGGTTTCTGCAAATGAAGTTATCGGTTTCTGCAAATTAACTCTTCATATATAAAAATAAATTTTTTATATATGTTATACTATATTTTTGATCAAATAAATGCAGCTTTGCTGAGCATGAGACTTCTTTCAAAAACATTTCAAAATCTTACCAGCCCCAAACTTTTGAACGGTAGTGCATGTTGCTAAGAACATTTTAGAGTCCTTTTTCTTTATCTTCTTGGACGCTCTTCTTGTCGCAGGCTCTGCTGCTGGTGGCCAGCTCTGTGGACAGTAACGCTGACTGCACGCGGGTGGTGGTGGACGGCTGGCTGGAGCTGGGCTTGACTGACGGAGCGCTGAAGGTGCTCTCCTCGGCCCTCAGTCTGCGGGGTGAATGGGAGAGGCTGCTTCAGGCTCAGCTCGGACATGGTTCGTCCACCGGACTCGGGGCAGGTGGGCCCAAAGTGTCCCGCAGAGAACTGGATAAGCTCTGTGAGGGACTCGTGCGGTTTCTGTTGTACACTGAGGTAACAAGGCAAACATATTAATGCATCTGTATTATTAATCTTGATCAAACACACGTGATAATCACTTTCTCTCTCATAGGTTAGTTACAGTCTGAGGCGTCTGACAGCGCTGCAGTCTCAGAACCTGTACATCGGACCGCAACTGGATCCGGATCTGTCTTCCGCTTCAGCTATGGGCTCTCTGTTTCCTGGAATGAAGGCCGAACCAGATCCCATCAAAGGAGGCCTGCGTTTGTGCAGCTACTTTACCTACAACTGTCTGTGTGTGAGTGCTCTTTCTCTGACAGGATGTTTAAAACCCTTTCTTTCTGACAGTCCTCTAATAGCACCACTTCCTGTTTTTTAATGCGTGTCACATAGGACTCTAAGGACCTGTACAGTGAATGTTTACGCAGTTTTTGGAGCTGCCCTCACTGTGACCTTTATATGCCCCTGACGCCCTTGGAGCGTATGCAACACGAGGCCACCTGCAGGCCGCCAGAGGAACAGCAGCCTGAGGAAGGTGAGCGGCTCATGAATCAGGCTCAGAATATGCTTAGATGTCTTGCTATAGAGTAACAACTGTTTAATGAATTTTAAAGCCTAAATACAATCGCCAGAAGAAAAACCTAAACATAGGATATAAGCAAACTACACCACAGTAACCTGACTTCAGTGTCACCACCATTAAAGCTTCTGACAACTCTTTCAGTCTTTATTATAAAAAAAACAAAAAACTTTTACCTGAAGAATATTTTGCAAGAGCATGATTACAAACACAGTAAGGCTGTTAAAGTGAATTAGTGAGAACATGAGTTTGCCTGTTCAGTGTGATGATGTTTAATGTCACTGACAACCTCTGTAGTCCCATTTAGCCACTTGTTAGCAACTGCAAAAAAGTAAAAGCTTTAAGAAATCACAAGGTGGTATTACTGATGTATTTCATGTCGTAGAATAGAACAGGAAAATATCTTTAACTTGAGTTCACCACAGACCTTATTTCGGACATTTAACTAAAAAACCCATTCCAAAAACCCACTGACTTCAGGACAATAGAGTGGGAAGTGCTAAAATGCTAATTAATTTCCATGTTTTGGCTTACAAAAATACATCATCCCTGCAGCACTCTATTCTGTAAAGAACAGTGCCTTTTTCAACACATTTACAAAGTAGAAGTTAGTAGTTGATTTAAAATGGCTAAAAATATACCAGTGCCGATTTCTAGACAACAGACTGGCCAAAAGCTGCAATAATGCTGATATACGTATATATATATATATATATATATATATATAAAATGTTATTTAATTATGGAAAATTATACATGCATTAAAAGCTGAAATAAATTAATGTAAAAAAGATTGTTTGCTCAGTATTCACAAAACCGTAAAAACAATGGAAAATATAAAATGAAAAATAATTCAAAATATTATATTATTACTGTTATAGCTATTATAATATCTTAATGATAATAAAATGACACTGATATATATCAGTTGGTTTCTAATACAAATCATATTTAAATCTTCTCATGTCTTAGCAATAGTATTTTCACCCTTTATTTTGAAAATGCTCTAGATTTGCAATATCAGTCAATGTTTTTCTTTGTTTTCAGAGTCTGACAGTGAAAAAACATCCTCATCATCTTCATCGTGTCTGACCAGGGTCTACCACTGTGACATCTGTAATAAAGACCTGACTCTCACCTCAACAGAGATCCTAAAACACAAGCGCCAGCACCTGTCCTGAGCTCACACATGGGTACATGCTCACACTTTAAGACCTTTTCTGTCCATCCAGCTCTTCTGTATTTATATTTTCTCCATACCATTTTTAAATAAATGTGAAACTCTCAATAGAATTCTTCTACTTGCTTTTAATTGAGTTTAGTTGGGTTCTGGAATTGAATTTCACTGACTGAGGCGCCCCCTTGTGGACAATCAAGAATGTGCGTGGTGAAAATTGGCTCCGCCTAGTGGTCAGTTATGATTGAATGTATATCAAACAGAACTGTAAGGAATTGTCTGGCTCTTATTTCAAGAAAATATATATATATTTTTACATTATTTTCATGACAATCAATGACATTCTCCTCCCATTTCTCTGTAGTTTGTAATGTGGACCACTGTAATACAAAATTGTATATTATTTAAATTAAATGAATATATAGGTAGTGTTTGTTAAATATAATAATAAACAGATTTTAATTTTAATTACAATTTAATTTGAAAAATATTGACTGCACAGAATTTTCATTACTGTGTTTTAGGGGGAAGATTATTGTCATGAAAATATGAATTGACTTTTCTTTATGCAAAATATAAATTCTGATGTGTTTTCTTTGAAAACGAGCCGAAATATGACCTAGACATTTCTTCGTGAAATTCGCCCTGTTCCAACTGGATGTTTGAATGGAGCACAATGCACTATTGCTATCTTGTGCTTTAATACACCTGATACTGTGGTTATGAGTGAATGCTGAATGATGCCATCCCAGTATTAGTGTACATAATCACATGTAAACACGAATCAGAGTGCAAACTTTTCATTAAAATATAGAGTTAGGGTTTAATTAATGATACAAACCCACGATATGTAACACCTCAAAGCAGCAAATTGGCACAAAGTCAGAGAAGTAAGACAGCACAGAAAATAAAAACCCGTCTCCAAAAATAAATAAAGAATTAGAATAAATATCTCAATAAATATATAAACAGGTAATATTTTCCATTGATTACTTTTCAAACTAATAGACACATACATATTAAAATATGCACATTGGCAGAAATAAACAACCCGAAAAAGAAAATGAGTATTTAGGTATGTTGTTACTTAGAAATTATAGGTTATTGGTTAAATAAATCAAAAGGCACATTTATTAATAGGATGTATGACTAGGGCCCTCAAGGGTGGTCTCATCTCGCAAAGTTCTTTTTTCCAGTGCTATTTTTGGGGCTTTTTGTGTTTCTCTACTCATGTCTAATATTCTGCCCATAAAGAGTGAGTGAGAGTGTGTGTGAGAGAATGTCTCACATCTTCAAAAATGGACTCCAGATGCACAGTGAAATACAATGCACGTGTGTAGATCGAATAGTCTAGTGGCTCATCTTGCTGTAAAAACCCTTTTCTTTTAAAGTGACTCTAATGAGCAGTTAATACAACATTGATGGAGAAACCATCATTGTGTTCCTAACTCAAAAATGGACTACAGGGCTGTGTCTGATTCCCTAACTCCTCATTACTAGCAGCGAGGTATGACAAGTTTAGGGGAGTTGAAATAGCAGCTTTGAGATATTTAAAGCAATATTTCTTAACACTTTGAGGTCCAAACCGTTATGCCAGGCAGTGTTTGAACTGATTGGTCTAAATTTGTGTGTCCTTTAGCCAGACGACGAAGTTTTCAGCATCAAGTCATTTGTCTGTCCACAGTGAAAACAAAATATACTGTAATACAGTCAGAGCCATTCGGAACATAGCTGATGTTTCTGGACCAATGGGATTTCACTGTGGGCGGGGCTACCCAGCACAACTCCACAGACAAAATGTCCTGTCACTTCGTTGCTCTGTTTAGGACACAGCTCAAAAGCACACGTGAGGAGCAGTGTTACTCGTTATACTTAACGATTGAGTACTTCTCTTGTTGCCATACTGACAGATAAAGTTAAAATGTTGTGTCACACACAACAAGCCTTTGCTTTTTATTCTTTACTTCTTACTAATAACTAATTGCACTGTATTTTTGGTGGTGTGTTCAACTACATTTCAAGGCCTCGGTTCACATTTGCTGTGCAAATGTTCGGCAGATTCATGTCTAGATTATCTCTCCACTTTTTTTGGTCAAATATAGGCAACATTCTTGGTTGCTGGCAAGTTCAATACAACTATAATCTTGACAGAAGAATGACATGTATGTGGTGAAAGTATGTATGTGGTTTTGGTGAAACTGCCCTCGATCAGACCGTTCACGTTCCCTGTTCTCAAACAACTAAAAGTGATACGACATCAAAATGTTCTCCTTCACAAATATGTTCTGGCCGAACGTGTGTGAAAAACCTACTGTAAAGACCATATACAAAACCTCACCACAGCACAGTCCCCGAAATAAGTGTCTCTTTCTCTATCTGCCTTCCTCTCCACTGGACATTGAGGTAAAACTCAGTAACTTAGAGGTACGAGGGGAGTGTATTCATTAATCAGTTGCCAAAAAATATCTTTCAATAGTTCAAGTAAAATAATATACTCAAAAAAGGTCTGATAACCATAGCTATAAAAATTTTTCATCTAATTTTTCTCCCTAAATTAAATAAATAAAACCCAAGAGAAAAAAAACTAACAATTGTTTACACGTCACTGATCCCCATTCACTCCCCACCTCCCGGAGACAACCCCTGACCCCAACGACCAGCAAATCAGAAAGCGATCTTCCCGAACCCATGCACCCACCACCGGTACGAGCGTGAAGGGTCCAAGCAGAGAAGAGCGGAATGCAGCAGACGGCCTCGGAGGGGGCGAGGGGATATTAAAACGGCGGTAACTTGGGTGAGCTGGTTCTGGGCAGGTCGGGTGTGGATCTGTGGTGAAAAAAGAGCAAGGGTTGAATATAATGCTGGAGAGGCAGTGACATGACGCTCGTTTTTTTTGTTTTGAATCTATTCATTTATTCAAAAATACAATAAAATGCCTTGTAACATATTTAAATTTTTTTATACATTTCACATACACTTTTATCCAAAATGACCTACATTCCATTCAAAGTACACATTTTATTTCAGACTTTGTTTTCCCTATGAACTTTTGTCCAACAAATAAAAAAAAATCAAGCTTGTTGGTCGTCATGCTTGTAAAATGTCATGTGGTGCAACTCCCAACAAATGTAGTATTAATTAGAAATTCATGATATTTATATATATATCTTAAAATTATATATTTATTTAAAAGCTTTTTGTACATAATTATTAAGATGAATACATTCATATATATTCAAATTGTATTACTTTACATTGATGGTTGCACCACATGACATTTTTTTCATTAATCTACACCGTTTCTTGAAAATTGTAGTTTTTTTTTAAAACCACATGAATACAAAGAGAATGTGTGTGTGTGTTTTTAAACTAGATTGTTTAAAGATTTTTCCCTTTTTGGACACATAGACATGGCATTAAAATCAACTTTCAAGCAATGTGAATCCTTTACCTGGGCCGGGGTCTGCGTCGTGACAGCATGCCCTGTCCCATACGCAAACTCCTCTGTGGAGTGCACAAAACAGGTGGAGGAGGACTCACTGGTCACAATGGTAATGGGTTTGGGTAGCATCTCTTTTCTGCTGTTGGATGACGACTCACTCCCTGTATGAGACTGAGACAGACTGCAAGTCATCAAACATGCAGAACCACTTCATGCTTACACAACAAGATGAAGGATAGAAGGTGCAAAGGTGTAGTTTGGATTGTCTTGTTTTATGAATGAGTCATTCACTAATTCTGCTTTGACTTCATTTGAAAAGTATAAAATAAAATAAAAACTAAATTATTGTCAAGATTTTAGACAGGAAACGGCAAAGCAAGTTATTACTGTACATTTTGATTAATTTTGAGGATTACAAAGACAATTTTCTTTGAAATGACATGCACTGGTGAATCATGCACAATAAGACCAGAAACACATAGGAAAATAAATAGTCAATTTTGATTTATTGACTTCAATGTCTGTCGTGACTTCATGAGTATCTAGGCACGAAGTAATTCTCAGACCGACACAAAGATGAACCAGATACTTTGAAGCACTTTGATGTGATATAAACACTCACTGCTTGACCGTCATCCTCAGTGTCGCCCTCTTCAGGTGTCGGGGAGGATGGCGAGTCAGATCCTGCAGGGAAATATAAAAAATGAGAAAGAGAGAAAATAGATTCTAGTTTATCATGAATACATTTCAAGAAAGAAAATAGTAGTTCACATTAGACACATTAGCAATATCCTTGCATGGCATCATCATCTTCACTGTACTGGTACATTTAGAAGCCATAACAACAGGGTTATTTGGCTTTAAAACTTAAAGTATTTTAAAGGGGTCATATGATGCGATTTCAATTTTTCCTTTCTCTTTGGAGTGTTACAAGCTCTTGGTGCATAAAGAAGATCTGTAAAGTTGCAAAGACTAAAGTCTCAAATCCAAAGAGATATTCTTTATAAAAGTTAAGAGTCAGCCACACCTACCTAAAACGGCTCGTTCTAACACGCCCCCACATGTCTACGTCACTATGTGGGAAGATTTGCATAACGCCGCCCAAATGTTCACGCAAAGAAAGAAGGCGTAACTTTGATTCTCGCTGTAGTTTTGTTGCTGCCGCCATGTTGTGAAGACGCGTTTGTGTTCTGTGTTTCGTTGTGAAAGTGAAACTACTTTGTTTGGCCTTCCAAAAGAGGACGATATCTGCTTCGTCATGCCTGGAGAAATCGACACGTTTCAGAAAGGCGGGGCATAGAGAAGAAACAATAATGTACAGTATGTGGAAAATAATGTGTTTTTTGAACCTTAAACCACATTTCATTGCACCAAATACACAAAATAACGTTCTTTTTAGCAACATCATATGACCCCTTTAAATTCTTTCACTCCAACTTCCTGTTCACTAACTTTTGCTGCTTCTGTACCTCTGTCCAGCTTCTCAAGGACACTTTGAAGCCCCCTCTCGAAGGAGATGGCGTCAGCTGGACTCTGGAAGGTCAGACCAAACTTCCTCTCCTCCACACGCCAATGATGGAAGATGGGGTTCACCTTGTTGTAGACCAGACCCTTTTGAATGGCGCATTCCAGCACAGGCTGCACGAAAAAAGAGGCGGGTCACTCGCGGGCCACTCATGAGGGCAACTACCAAATTACCACAACTACCAGGACTGTCAGGCTGAGGGAACATCAGTGCACTCAAAGACAGGCATGAACACAAACGCACACACTCACTGCTCGATAGCGTAGCCGTTCTCCACGTATGACGTACTCTCTCCGCCCACGACCTTCAGAGCTCCGCCCCTTACAAATGACCACATGACTGAGGCCGCCGCCTCCAAGGGGCACCCAGCCACCACTAGAATCGTCACGTGTCATCACCACCGCTCGGACACGCACACTGTTAGGGAAGTGAAAGCAGTGAGTGCTCTAGCCAGCTGAGCGCAAACAAACACACACACACACACCCACCCACACACACAAACACAGACTTTGAGACAAAGGCAATTAAAGAAGAAAATACAACTATCAGTATAAAATATTAAAATAGCCTCAAAATGAAGGAAACTGACAATTGATAGAGAAAAGACAAAGATGCAGTGTGAAGATGTGTAAGGATGTACTATTATTGGCCTGCAATTTCCACTGAAATGATGATGTTCGTAAACCATTTTGCTTCTGTAATCTTTCTAGACATATTTCCGAGTGAAACTGAATATTCAGTGAGAATAAAGGTAAGGTGGGACATTGGATTTTATCCATTTGAAGTTTATTAGATCATGAAAAGTGGACGTTAATGTGGTTGGGCATCATAAAAAGAAAGGACGTTTTGCATTACATCTGTAAAAGAGATTACAAAAGCAAACATTTTATTAATAGAAATAGCATGCACTGATGAACATGGCCACATCAAAGAACATGCATTAAAATGTAAATAAGTTCATAAGTTTGATTTCACGTTAACTGAAATTTTGGAAGTACTTAGTAGTGAAATGCCTTCTACAGTCTTCTTTTTTACCAATGTTGAAAACTTAAAGCCAGCCAGTTCAAGCCAATTGCAACCAGGTTTGTCTGGAGATCGGGGATTTGGGAGGGAAACGCACCTCACAGACTTTTGCTACATTATGGTTGATGTGATGGTCACAGCTAGCAGCAGGCACATGAATGGAGGGGAGTGGATGAAACATGTTTGGCTCTTTTTCCTGCCTACGCCATGATGATGATGTTAGTCCAAATGAAGAGTCATTTCAGAGGTGGAGCAAGTTATTATAATTTGATACAATATTACTCATTTTGAATCAAAGTGTACTTATGAGTGGCCCGTAACATACATTTAACATGCAGTAAATATGGTTCATTTTTATGCTGATGTTAAAGGTGCGACTGATTTCACCCCATTTGACAACATTCGCCAGATTTAAGGCGAATTCCAAATGGCTCTTTTGCGCTTTGGGAAGGGGACGCCATTTGTAGAGAAGCGCCATTCACGAAGGGCCCTTCCAGAAGTCCGAAGGGAACATGCGATGGTCACTTCACGGGAGTGATTTCAGTTTTCATGTGATCTTCGGTTAGTAGATCTTGCGATGCTTTTTAAAGCAAATTTGGGATTGATTTCCACTTCACATACAAACGTAAGTAGAATAGGCTAATTAAATTACAAAATATTTTTTGTCAGTGGTAGATATGATTTAAGACGGTAGTGTAAGCAAGTTTTAAGCAATATAATATTAAACAATATTTGAATAAAATAATAAGAAATATTTATTTGCATCAACTGATGGAGCTGCACACACGCACAGCATTGTCAAGGTAACATTTGGTCAGTAATTTCCTTTGCCAAGGGAGTTCCAAACACTTTAGAGACAGTAATGCCCTACAACCTTCAAAGAACACATTTCAAGGGCTCTGCCCTTCAAAGGGAGTAGGGCACAGGGATGCTCACTTCCGTTTGGAATTCGCCCTTAGCTAATGAAATTGACACGTCCCCTTTCCAAAGCCCCGCACCCAGCAAACCTGGGCTGCGTTCAGCCCCGACAAAAACGGTGCAAAACGGTTTTTAAATGGAAACGGTGGTGCGTTGAAAATCCTGTATATCGGTATAAATACATGTTTAATACTGCAAAATACGCTCGATGGTACAGTCACTGCCCTTGCCCTCCAGAATAAAAGAGAACATCCCAATCGAGTGAAGGGATTTGTCACCGGTTTGAGCTTGAACTTGCCCCTGAACTTGCAGACAGGCTGAGAACGTTTCTGATTCGCTAAATAAAGGTGGGCCGCTCCCCCGAATAGTTTCGCTGTGACAGAGACAGGTGTGATTTATTTGGACGCCCATTTTAGTGATATCTGTCAGGTAACATGGACATTTTATGCGTGGGCTTAAAAAAATGGCCATTTAATATTATGTAGGCTACTGTAAGTACTACATATTTTAACTAGACGCGGGGATACAGGAGAATTTTGATTGATTCCTTGAGACAAGATGGTGTGGCGTAGTTGCAAGCAATGGTTTGTGTTAAATTGATCGAATAATCTTAAATCACAACGTCGCGTGCGCCTTGTGTATTCCCTGAGCTACAGGTTCAGTCCAGAATACATAAACAGTCGAAGCACCATTATAACAATGAGAGGAAACAGCGCGATTTTTTTTAATGGACGGTCACGTGGGCGAGGAAAATCTAATCTCACTTTCAGCGCTCACACGGAACAAGCGTTTACAGCCGTCGCTCGTTTCTGTAGAAAAGTCTTTAATATAGTCGTTCCGCGTTTACAAGGAGTCCGATATAAAACAACAGAGGACACAATGGCACCATATGTTAATATGAGGGAGTAGCACAAAGAAGGAAATCGTAAATAAACGAATGGCCTGAGGATGTGTGGAGATGATGAGGGAGAGGATGGGAGATGAAGAGTTGAGATGTATCAATGAACGCGCCCATTCGCCATGCAAGGCCCTCATAGCAGTTTTCCAGTCCGACAAGCTCCATTACAATAAACGCTATGAAATCACATCCATTTTGATTCAGAGCCCCGTTTGTGTTATTAAACGGTATCAGTTATTATAAGCCATTGCACCACGCGCACTCATTCGTTCATCCCGCTGTTTTATGAATGAATAAAACCACATATATGCTACAGCACGGCAAATTCAATGGGCAGATGAGTGAGTAAAGGAGGATATGGACAAGAAGAAGAAGACGAGAAGCGCTGGGGGGAGGGGAGACATGAAGAGGAGGAGGAGGAGGAGGTGGGTGAGAGAAAAATCACATTTCATTCATAAAGTTTGGCTTTAAAAATCATAATGAAACTCGAGACGCGTTGATAAAAGCATCCCTCTCCGCCTCCATCCCGCCAGTGTGTTCCCGACGCCAGAAAACTCCCCATATTTCGCCGATTTGGATCGACAGGTTTTATAATCCACGGATGTATTTGGTGGTCATACGTGCAGCCTCCACACACATCATCCTCGAGACAAAAAGCCGTCTCTTACTGCGCCCTGTTCGTCTTTCACGCGGCACTGAAGGCGTTTTATATAGTGCACTTCAGCTGAGGCCCATTCACTGGCGTTATTCATCAAATGTTGGATGTATATAGAGAATATGGTGTACAGTGTTGATAGCCATAGCTGCGTAATAGTGTTTATGAGCATCTAACATCAGATGGTCTGGCGCGTGAGCATCTTACAGTCCATCATTAGAGGTGCTGCAAATCAATCAGAGTGTTCTGCTCAAATAAAAATGCATGGACTTACTCGCCCTCCATGGCTCAGTGTTGCCCGCCGCTTCGAGCTGGCTGCCCCCCGGTCTCTCGTCTTTTTTATTCCCCTTCTTACCGAGCACACACACACTCGCGCGCGCGTTCTCACACTCATACACACACACACACACACACACACACGCGCGCGTTCTCACACTCTCGCTCACATACGCACGCACACGGTCTCTCGTTCACTCACTCCTTGTGCTCGCTGCTCTCATTTTCTCGTCTTTCTCTGTCCACCTTCATATGGTCTCGGATGGGCTCGAGGATGCAGCAGCCATTTTCCACCGGCAGCATCATCATCATCATCGTCCTCCCTCTCTCTCTCGCTCCCTCCGTGCCTGCCTCCCTCTCTCTCAATCACTCCCTCCCTATTTCTCTCTCTCTCTTTCTACCTGTCTAGTACAGCAGTTCTCACACACTCATATTAAACACTCTCGTGGATGGACACAGTGTCCCTGAGTGGGAGCCGCATCGGTCCAGTTTTGTGGCTGTCAGGACATTTGGAGCGATTTGCTTTTATAAATGGCCACCAATGTCAAATCTGAAAAGAGAGTGGCTACTAATGTTAGAGAGAGATAGCAAATGATCAATAGTCTACAGTAACACAGTGACAAGTGCGCAAACTCGGTTGATGTAGTGTAGATCAGCGATGGAGAACGCTTCAGTACCTTGGACAGCTCCCATACAGCTCTATACGCCATGACGGTATTCACAGCAGCTAGTCTCCATTCATCTCCAACTCCCCATTCATGTTCACTGATAGCCCACCATTGATAAACAGCCACGCCAGCGTCGAGCCTTTCTTACTCGAATAAACAGCCCGTCTCGCTCCCGTTCAACCATTTGGATAAAGTACACGAAGTTACAACTACACGAAAAATAAAAGTATTAGTTTAATAATTGGAATAATGCATATACTGTACATATATCAGTATTATTCAAGTTAAATGTCTGTTTTCCTTCTAATTAAATTCATATCTACCCAATAAATAAATAAATAAAATGAAACACATTTTATGTGTATGAACAATTACCAAAAAAAAAAAAAAACGTGAACAAAATATTTTATTTTTCTCCTGTTGAACAAAAATCAACGGAATAATCAATTGCCCAAATGAAATCTAACACACTGGACATATTCCAACAAAAGCATTTAGTCTACTATTTAAACTGTATTGGTTTAGTCCAGTTTATTGAATTTAGGTTACAGTAGTAGAGATAGTGTGATAATGTTCTGGTTCCAAAAACCTATTTCTCACAAAAGCTATATCCCAGTAACTACAAGGTTGAATTACAGAAATGTGTTTTCTCTAGCTTTGGTGTTGTGTGTTGGTTTCAAACACGTTGATCAATGCGTGTTATATGTTGTAACTGTATAGACGTATTTATCTAAAACAGAATATGGTTTGATATTTACAGAAGGCACAGCTTCAAACTAGATGTTTGAACCTTTCCTACAAAACCACTGCTGGAAAAAAATTACTTTTGACTCAAAACCTTAGTTTCTGGGACTACAAATCCCATTCTCTCCTATAATACTTAAATCTGTCTATTATCCATATGCATGAGATGTTATAATGAACATGTTGACCGGTGTATTTCCAACATGTTGGCTGCCATGTTCACAATAACACACGGTTAAATTAACAGGCCCTTGGGCCCTCAACAGGATCCAAGAGTGGAAAGGTTCAAGTCTGTGCTAACAAGGGCAGATCTTTTATTAGACAGCACACATTGTACCTGAAGAGCCGAGGGAAATTGCAGCTACAACTAAAAAGACACCAGCTTGGGTACCAGCTCTATTTAAAGCCAGCATGCTGAAGTGCAAGAAAACATGAGACAACTACGCAAACTCAAGAGGGTGAAAATAAGGGCATGCAAGAAATATTATAGAAAGCCTAAAACTACACTTCCTCAGATTGTCTCTATTTTGTCTAGTGTGCTCTTGTATCATGAAACGTAAGGCAAAATGCACAATTTCAATTAATTTGAATATAGGTGTATTCAGTTTGCTCAACTGTTGTAACAATAATGCCACATTACAAATCCTAAGACTCCTAAAAATAGACTTCATTTCCTTTATGCTTTAGATTTATTGGATTAAACATAACCTGGACATGTTTCTGAATGGTTTTCTTTTATAGAATTTAATATTTATAAAACAAGAGGCTCATCTGTTTTGTCAAAAGACGCTTCCCAACTAGAGGTCAACCCTGCACAGAAGAGAATGAAAGCTAACCGATGTTTAGGCCAAGTGTGTTTGATTCAGGTTGGAGCTAAACTCTACAGGACAGTGGGTCACCAGGAGCAGGGTTGAAGACCCCTGCTGTAGATGATTCTCCAACAACTCCTCCACTTAGTCTTCATAGACACCAGTGATGATTCCTTTAGTAACTGGGTGGTGCATTTGAGGATAGAACATGATACCACCACAAATCCATGGACATCTTGAGAACCATCTATCGGCCAAACTCTATGCTCAACTAGCCTTCACCCTACTCCTCAATGCCCCAAAAAGGCCAAGAAAAAAAAAACACACAGCCTAAGCATATGCAAAGTCCCGAACAAAACAAAATGCAATTATGAAATTAAAAAGAAGTAAAACAAACATGACAAAAGTACATCCTCAGGGGCAGTGGCATATGTACAGCAAATAGACACCAGTGATGATTCCTTTAGTAAGTGGGTGGTGCATTTGAGGATAGAACATGATACCACCACAAATCCATGGACATCTTGAGAACCATCTATCGGCCAAACTCTATGCTCAACTAGCCTTCACCCTACTCCTCAATGCCCCAAAAAGGCCAAGAAAAAAAAAACACACAGCCCAAGCATATGCAAAGTCCCGAACAAAACAAAATGCAATTATGAAATTAAAAAGAAGTAAAACAAACATGACAAAAGTACATCCTCAGGGGCAGTGGCATATGTACAGCAAACTCTGTTTGAATGCTGACCTGCCTCTAAATGTTAAACGCGCATAAATGTGCATCTTAATGCAACTGTAACCTTGGTTGTCTAGCCTGAACATGAAGCAGACTATGAGTATGAGCCACTCTACAGCATCCGTTACAAATGTTGACTTCCTTCTGTTAAAGTTCAGACAATATTTTATCAGTTTAGAAGACAAATGAACTACTTACCTCACTTTTTTTTTTTTTTTGCATTTGAGTTTCACAGTAGTTCCTGCATCTAACACAATATCAATAACGTTACTTATACAGTGTTTCAGAAAGCATTTTATAAAAGAATTAGAAAAACGCTTTATTCATCAGAAACGTCAATGTCTTGTGACAATACCAGCCAAGCCAATTTTCTTTTTTTAATTTTTACACAAACTCACTCTTGCTAAAAGCCATCCTTGTTCAGAGGAACATGTGAATATTCAAAATAAGACATATTAAATGTTTATTTAGAAAAAAAAAAATGAGACCCAGTCATTAGATGTTTGTCAGTAATGCAGGAGGGTTGACACACCCAGCAGACAATCATACAGAGAGACCCCGATACAGGTAGATATTGATCACTTGTAAGCTAAAGAGTTCTGGTCTCGTCCTCTGAGAGTCATTATTTGCAGCCGTGTCATCCTGTGTCTAAACTGAGTATAGATATATGGCGACTGTACAATGGTTTTATTTGGATAAACAAATGTGAACCTTTATGTATACATGTGTCTAAACACGGTTATATCCACACTACACAATCATTTCCAGCTGCCTTGCATACTCGATGACTTGTTGGGCCAGTTCTGTGGAGGGGATGGTCACTTCCTCTGTTTTTTGATGCTGGGTACTGAATGAATAGTGTCCATCAGGACTCTGAGTCCAGCCTCTCTGCAGAGCACAAAAGCCAAACCATGAACATATTAGTATCTATCCAAAAAAAGGAATAATATTTACTTGCCCTCAGAGCATCCAAGATATAGATCAGTTTGTTTCTTCATGGGAGCAGATTTGGAGAAAGTTATCATGACATCATTTGCTCACTAATGGATCCTCTGCAGTGAATGGGTGCCGTCAGAATGAGAGTCCAAACAGCTGATAAAAACATCACAATCCACAAAACTCCAGTCCATCCATTAACATACTGTGAAGTGAAAAGCCCCTTGTTCAAAAGTTCATCTTTAAGGAATTTTAACTTTTCACATTTTTTTTCCCATGCCAAACCACAAACATATGTTTTCGCTTGTTAACGGTGCTTGATCTTTGCATAGTTCTCTCCGGATTCAGACAAGACAACATTTGGAGGTAGTGAAGTTATGGATAGAGGACTCGTATTTTAGCCAGAAACAACAGTTTGAAGTTAAAAACGTCTTAAGGATTTGTTTCTTACAAACATGCAGATTTTTGATTTATAAGACATGAACTGATGGACTGGAGTGGTGTAGATAACTTGTGAATTATTGTGATGTTTTTATCAGCTGTTTGGACTCTCATTCTGACGGCACCCATTCACTGCAGAGCATCCATTGCTGAGCAAGTGATGTCATGCTAAATTTCTCCAAATCTTTTCTGATGAACAAACAAACTCATCTACATATTGGATGGCCTGAGAGTGAGTACATTTTGTATCTTTACATTTTTTTTTACATTTGTATTATTTTATTACATATGATTCCAAGTAAGAAAAATTAATTACAAAATTGCACTTCATGTGACAAACAAAAGCAAATATTTATATCTCAAAATTCATGATTGTGACAGGCCTAGTGAAAATATTTGACAAACACATCAAACACTTACTTTCTTCGCATATTCTGTCATCTTTTTCAGAGAGGAAAAGAAAAGCACTCGTGTGGCCTCACTGAATTGAATTTGTTCATATGCTTTTTCTATACAACCTGCAATCTCATCTCTACAAACAAAAACAAACAACAACATTTTAATGACATAGTTCAACATTTACAATTAGTCAGTAAGACTAAAAATAACCCCTACCGAATCGTATCAAGAAGAATGTCAATGAAGAAGGTGTAGCTCTCAGCAGG